TTTCGGAGTGCGTGGCTAACGCCACGCACCTTCTTTAGAAAAAAATTTTTGTCGCGCCCCCCCCGAGCCGAAATCCTGGGTACGCCACTGTACTTGGGTGATAAGCAACCTACCGCGTCAAGATCCTGAGTCGCTAAGTTTTGCCGATCCACTGCATTTAAGTACCTCGCAGTCGTAACTTTCCAAACTAGAAACTTCTATACATCCAATTTTGCATCATGTTCGATCGGCAACGTGGATGTCTGAAACACCTGTGGCAGTATTCATCAACGAATCCTGAGGGTTAAACTTACCCTCCAGGGTTAGTTTAACCTTCAGGGTTCATTGGTCGTATTCATCCATAGTATACTTGGGTAATTCGAAAATTTTTCATCGAATGAATGAATATCGAATAAATTCGAAAACGAAAAATTTCGAATAAACGAATAACGAATAAATTCGAAAATTAAAAATCTCGAATAAACGAATATCGAATAAATTCGAGGTTCAAAAATTCTCGAATGAATGAATTCCAAATAAATTCGGAAAATCAAAAATATCGATTGAATGAATACCGAATATATTCGAACATTGGAAGTCGAATTTCGAATAAATATTCGAATGATTTATCGAATAACTAGAGCAACCATATCTCAAACTTGCCGACAACTTGCCGACAGCTTGCCAACCTGCCGAACTTGCCTGGCTAAAGCCGATCCGTTCATAGTCAGCACCCTTGTACCCCCTATACCAACTCCTAGCTCAAAATTTTCCAAAATTCGCTGAAATCGATAAAATAGACTTCGGTTTTAATCAGCATCCTCATTTACCACCCTGTACCAACTCCCAACTTCGTAGCTCGAATTTTTGAAAAAAAATCGACAAAATGATAAAGTAAATCTTTATTCATAATCACCGCTCTTACTTAGCCCCCCCTCCCCGTACCAACTCCCAGCCCCGCAGCTCAAACTTCTCCAGAAATCGATAAAATCGATAAAGTAAATTTTCATCCATAATCAGCACCCTCACTTACTCCCTTGTACCAACTCCCAGCCTCGCAGCTCAAACTTCTCTAGGAATCCATGAAGTTGGTCGGTTGGCAACTAGTCTATACATCAGCAAGAAGTCGTATTTTAACGATCTAAAAAAGCAGTCGATATAAATTTTGATCAAAACTTATTCTAGAAGTACAGAATGCAGGGCATTTATCTTTTTAGCAAGTTGTACGCGCTAAACATTTGTGGTAAGCTGGCGTTATACAGGGTGTCCCAAAAAATGTATCAAACGTGATCCTCAATAACTTGCCTATATAGAAAGCTTTCGCGGATCTTTAAGTGTCATATGGTAGAGCTCGGTTCAACTTAGATTTACAGTTTAGAGCAAATCACCGATTCCTCTTAATTACTGTAAAATTACGGTAGGATTTTTCGACTAACTTTAAGTTTCTGACAGGCGAGAACTGCTTCTAAGAAATTCCAAAAAACCGACGTTAAACAGAGGTTTTTGGGGATGCTGATAATTCAAAGTTTTCCGCTACCGTACTCCCCATCTTCCTGCGGTGTGCGCATTGTAACACTAAATTTTTTGGTTTTTTTCCAAAATTTACTAAATCAAAGTTGCATTTACGAACACGTTACAAAAAGCCAAAAAATTAGCATTTCAGTGCGATATCGTAGGAACATAAGGAGTACGGTAGCGGAGAACTTTGTAATTAGATTCAGCATCCTCAAAAAGCTCCGTTTAACGTCATTCGGTCTTTTATTTTGGAATTTTTTAGAAGCAGTTCTCGCCTGTCAGAAGCTTCAAATTAGTCGAAAAATCCTACCCTAATCTTACAGTAATTAAGAGAAATCGGTGATTCGCTCTATACTGTAAATCTAAGTTGAACCGAGCTCTATTGTATGACACTCAAAAATCCGCGAAAGCTTCTTATATAGGGAAGTCATTGAAGACCAAACGTTCGATACATTTTTCTGGGACACCCTGTATTTGAAGACATCTCGTAACTGGCAAACCGCGTACGGCACTGCGTTTCCTTTACTCAAAATACACAAATTCGTAAAAATTTTCTAAGGTAGCGAAGAGAGGCAGTTGTGCAATATAACTTATGCGAGCAAGACGGCTCACTAATGTGGACTTTGCGTATCACAAGCATGAGCAATACAAAGAAAGAAAAACAAGCATTTCAAAACACTTTCAATATCTCTGAACATGAGCTTGAATTTGGTAGTTTCTTTGCTGATTTGGTGCCAATAGCAGTGCGAACAATCTCATTGATCGAAAAAACATCAATTAAAATCCACCTATGTTTTTTTATTGTCGCGAGGCAGTCGGAAGAATGCGACCCTCCATACAGTTCAAAAGTCATAACGGTTGCAAAAGCTGCATTACCGAGTTTTGCGAAAAAAAGAACGCGGACGAAGTGAGCTTGATACTCAGCAGTTGGCTCTGCAACAAAATCAATCTGAATACGGAGTTCATTCGAATACGAATTCGAATAAACATTCGAATAAAACATTCGAATAAAATCTATTCGAAACCCTGTTTTTTGATTATTCGAGTTTTCGAATAATATTCGAATTCTCGTTTTTGATTATTCGAGTTTTCGAATTTTATTCGAAACCCTGTTTTTTTGATTATTCGAGTTTCGAATTTTATTCGAAAATGGAAGAACTTCGAATATCGAATTTCGAATTCGAATATATTCGAATGTTTTATTCGAATGATCGAATTTCTATTCGATTCGGACCCAAGTATAATCCATAGGATAGGGTTTACCACGGAACGCGATCCACCCATATCGATCAACGAACCCTGAGGGTTAAATTAACCCTGGAGAGTTAAGGCGTCTGTTACGCGTGCGTTGTGCAAACTCACATCACAGAATGCCTAAGTACGTGCTAAATTCACTTTATACTTCTATTCTTTCTCTGTTATAGTAGTATAATCAACAAATAAGCTTCTAGCACTAGTTTTTATAATACATCTCTAGCATATTTGTACAGCGTGAGTTTATTTTCATGTGTGCAATTGTGTCGTGTAAGTTCTACTTTTGCGCAGTTCGTTTTATACCGGACTTAAGCTACTCTTTTAAGAGTCAATGCGTGTTAACATAAAGGGGTTCTTCTGTTTGGCACTTGTCAGAGTGGAATGCGCAACCATTTTTCCTCGTCGCATTCATTTGTCACCAAAGCTAGAATTCTTTTTCTCGCGAAGTCAGTGTTTCATGTACTTCGAATTTGAACATAAAACGAAGTCGAAACTAAATACCATAACAACAACTAATACTAAATATTACAATACTCGTTGGCCGTTTTCCATAAAACTATTAGATGCGAGTAAATGTTTGCATGAGGTGTTAGGGTAGAGTTAACCTTGCTTTAAGCTAGGGTCAAATTAACCCTGATGAGTCACGTAAGTTTTACCCTTCAGGGTTAGTTTAACCCGCAGGGTTCGTTGATGAATACGGGTTAATCGCTTTCGGGGTAAGGTTTATCCTCGAGGGTAGATTTAACTCTCAGGGTTAAGCCCACCCTGTGTTTCATGAGTTAACCCTCCAGCGTTAGTTTCCTCAGGGTTCGTTGATAAATACGGCCACTGGAAGGGTCATTGAAGGCAATTGCTTATCGTCCATTACATGCGTAGAAGCCAAGCCCACAATCTCTGGGTAGTATAACAACGAAAATCCTGCGCGCAGACAAAGTTCGCAATGGGACGCGGGACGCGCTTTGCGCAGCTATGTCTAGTTTCATGTACGTGTCTCGGAAGTCTTCTCTTGGAAGCGCACATGCTAGAAATTACAACTTCTATCTGCTGTTTATACCTGCGATTACAACTTTTGGTACTAAAGAAATTAGTTTTGCACTAGAGTGACTAAAGTTATCAGCATTCCGTCGCCTATCCATACTCAGCTGCTAAATATAAATCATTCTCAACCCCGTCAGCATGTTTTTCTAGGCTCAGGGTATGATCTGTTTGTCTTCATATTTCCGTACTATGCATCACTGCCATTGTATATCGTTTCCTTTGTCTGGTATAGTATGTCATATAATGTATAATAATGAAATAAAAAGTAAGCTCTCTAAGAAATCATCAAGTTCTTCGGATCGCGCTTGTTATCTCCTCCCACTTTGCTTCTACCACATCTTTGCTCGCAGCTACCTTACTCTTTGGACACTGGCATTGCCTACGAATAATTTGTGATTGCTGTCTAACATAAGCAACCTAACAAGTGCACTAGCCATGATGTTACCTCGTTTTTGTACAGCCTCCTTTACATTGATTACCTCCATATCGCGACCATAGAATGCAGGAACAATTACAGGCAGCTGCTCGGCAGAATGACAAGCTTGGGATATTCATCGTCGGATCTCCTGGGTGAGCTAAGTCCAAGTCTGTGCTTTGCAGTTTGACCTGCTTTACTTCGACAGAAGAAAAGAAGAACACATGAAGAGTTACATTATAATCGAGTGACACAAGTACGAAACTTCCGAGCTGATACCATGATGCTCATTTTGGACACTTTTCTCACTCCTCTACAGTTGAAAAATGCGAACTAAAAGCAATCAGTATTGGACTGAGTTGGTCTCAAAGAACTCAAAACCACAAAGATGATAGCAAGTTATTTTTATGCTCACTGCTATTTAGGGATTCAATGGCTACTTAGATGACAAAAGTGTTATTCTTTAAATAATTTGCAGGTGATTCACTTGATTGGAAAAGTCATAAGTACTTTGGCACCCAGAACTGGTTATGTGCATGGTTCAATTGTTTCTCAATATGGAAATATGATTGACTCAAGCTTGCTCGAACCCTTCCTGCGCGCCTCCGCCACTGCCAAACTTGGGGTTAAGCTTATGGCTGAGTTCGTAGGGCGTGAACGTTCCGGGATAGCACGTTCATGATGCGCGCGCTAACCCGTTTACATCGTCGAGTCACGCCCCCGTCGGGTCACCAAAAACGTCTCGTTCTCTCTCGACACCCTGCACTATTCCCGTCATCGTTGCCGGCCTGCTACAATCGGAATTTTCCGAAATCTTCAAAAGCCGCTTCCGCTGAAAATACACCTGCAGCTATCATCTGCCCCTTCTTCGCTGAATTTATGTTTCGGGTGAAAAGATGAAGGAATTTATGCATATTCTTTATGTTATCGTCTTCCTCAAAGCGGTACTCGCCAGAATTCGCCCTCTTACGGAATTCCAGCACTTCTGTCAAGAATTGCCTGTGGCTGGCTTTATGACCACCCAGCAGATTGATCTTGTCTGTCACCACAGGGAACAATGGATGAAGGACAGAGATTCGCTGTCATCGAAAAAAGATGCCTCAGAGACGACGGGTAAGATCGCGCCCATATGACACAAATTTTGATTATGCTAGAAATATTAGGTTGATGCAAAATTTCTTCACCCAAATTTTTAAAATTTACTTCCTCCATCTTCAATAAAATCTTCTGATTTTATACATAATGAAAAGAAAAATTTTGCGCTTTCTGCAAGTTCTTGAGTCGAAATCCCTTGAGGACATATGGCAACGATTTAGGCTGATTCAAAAAAAGAACCCAAAGTGATTTTTCGGTTTTTGGTCACTGCAATTGCTAAAACGTTTACTAAAATTTGAATTTAATTGGTTTTTGGTATGACATATTTTTTTGACTAAGAGAAGTTGAGTGATTGTTTGTCTTTGTAAATAGTTATGATTTCAGGTTTTTTAAACACATTCATGACAAGAACGATTTTTCGATGACGGCCATTTCGGACCAGGGACATTTCGCAATATTGAGTTTTTGTGGTCACTGATGGGCCCTGTGGTCTAAAGTGTTGATCATTTGAGAAGTTTTCGGTATACAGAAGTTTATTCAGTTTGCCCAAAAAGTTTGATCGTAAACTAACAAACCAAAAACTTCAAGAAATATACGACCTACCAGTGGGCCGTATTGTCAGGGCTCGGCACGAGGTGGCTTACAAGCAAGCTGGGTATCGTTTTTGGGACGAAAAGCAAAGGGGGTTTCGTTTTTGTGACCGAAGAGACACGGAAAATTGGCGACGGCGACCTTTTTTTTTAGTCGACGTTTCGTTTTTTGGGGGATTTTGGGGAATTTTTCAGGTTTTTAGAGGAAATTTGGTTGGGGGTTAAAGGGGACTTCGTAAAAATTCGCAAAAGTCAAGGGGGACTTCGTTTTTTCCATTTTCATCTAGCCACCTCGTGCCGAGCCCTGCGTATTGTCGTGAATGTCTTAAATTGATTTATTGATTTTGTTTCCTATTGATTTTCCAAAATTTACCGTAAAATGCTACCTTTGACATACATAATAATAAGCATCTTTTATGAATTGGTTACTTTGGTTGAGCGTTTTAAAACAATTTTCTTCAATTTTTTAGTGCAAGAACTGTGCGTCAACCTAATATTTCCAAAAAAATGCGCTTTGGAATTCACGCGTATTGTTTGTTTCCGTTGCAGGACGACTTGTTGCAGATTCTGGTTCTTAAAGCACAATAACATCAAAATACGGGTTGATTGTTGTGCATTTGAATTCACTTAACGCATTTTCATGTAGTGGATCAATTGAAATACCTACACGATCTGGAGGATTGCACACGCCGTAATTGTATTGAGGTCGAAAGAAGACGAAAGGTAACGAACACCGTATACCTGTTACTTGGGTATTTGATTACCTTACACGATGAAGATCACACTTTCAAGACAGGAAAATATAAAATGAAATGCTAATCAAAGAGCGCCATACCTCATGGCAAAAACCTCTGATTGTTTTTTATGTTTAGTTTTTTTTCGCTCCAAACTAGCATTTTATTATTCATGATGTTCCTTTTATTATTCATGTGATATTTCCTTTCCTATCTTATAGTTGCGTTGCTAACTAACAACTGACCTTGATGATAGAAGTACAAAGCAAAAAACCGAAGTGCTTTATTCTCTCACATAGAATGAATTTTTATCAAATATGAAATGGAGTTTAATCAGCTTGGTAAATAAGTCTTGCAAATCTTGAATTTCATAATCTTTTCCAGCTCCAACGTAATGGTTTTATTTGATACATAACCAGATGGAGGAAATTTTATTCTTTTAAAAAGTTTTTTGAACAAATATGATTTTTAATATATCGTACAACACAAGCAGATGAAGAGGAACGCAAAAAGTAAATCGTTCACCAAAATCGCCAGCACTTCCATGAAAATCTATAATATTTGAGTTTTGCTTTCGGTTTATGACCTGCTCTTTTTACCTGAGAGAAACTGGAATTTACAAATTGTTATAATTTTTGCTTTTTTTTATTTATACCTTGAGGATCCAAATAAAACTAATAGGTATACAAAATAGAATAATGTTGCAAATAAATAAAATGAGTTAGAAAAACAGCATAAACACTTTTGAAACCAGTTTGTAAATTCTCGGGCAAGACGCTGTACCAATCCAATAATGGTTGCTCTGCAAAGAAACGGGGCCGGAAGGAAAGCTAGTTGCGGGTCCGGGTGACAACGAGTGTCTTATTTCCACAACACTTTTTACGGAGTGCATCTTTTCGTTATTGAGATTTCCATTCCCATAAAATTCATATAACACACATTGCCTTTACCTCAACTTATCATACAGTAAGGGCTCGAAAATCGTGTTTTATTTTTGTCATCGAAAGAACCACTCGAGTATGTAAAAGACAACAAATTCTCTTTCTTTTTATTTTTCTAATTGTTCGCTGCTAAAACATTGTGAGCTGTTCCAAAGATGTTCACTTGAAGCTAGCTGAATACACAGAGTGCGACTATTCGCGCGAATCATAATCTCGTCTTTTGTATACACGGCCACAAACACGATCTGTAGCGAATTCGATCCAGCACTGATAATCCGCTGATTGTTCGGTTTTAGTGCAGTCGTTGACGAAAATATGTGGCTCCGAGTGAGACAGCAATAGCTGAAACGAATTTCTCAGAGTTTGCAAAAAATTGATGGAATTGCTTCAGAAGCGGCAATCGTCGCCTATGAAGTCCATTCGCAGAGAGATTCGGATGCTGAGCGCGGATGAGCGCGACAGGCTGTGGAAAGCGATGAATGCGCTGAAATCGACCGCTATCGATAACATCACCATTTGGGATTTACACACTTTGGTACATTACCCGGATAGTGCTCCTGGTAGGTAAGATTGAGGTCATTGCTATCTAATATAATATCATTTGTCTACTTCGCTAATATTGAACAGTGATAAAAATGCGTAACTGATTTCTCCTAGGAGCCAGTATGTTGTAATTGGTAAAATTATTGAGTTTTGCCAGCTGTGCATCGACGTCAAATTTTTCGATTATTTCCAAATGGATCCAATTTTTCCTTTTATTTCAATTAACAACACACTCAGAGTGCATCGAAAAAAGGAAGTCGAATCTCCACCCGCTAACCTCAACACTTTAGAAGCACAAACACTCACTAAAATAAAAACCTTCTAGATCACTAGAACAAAGAAATATTCACTGTATTCATAGGCTAAAAGATTACGAAGTGGCAGGGCAAATTCCCAAATTCTGCTTCCTCTGAAATTTGTAATGACTCCCCTCCCCCCTTTTTTAAGTGTCAGCAAACCTGCAAGCGGCAGCTAGATGTCTTGGATTGAGTCAAATTACGAAATCCTAATTTTTTCGAATCTAATGTCTTCGAAATATCTCGGAAATCGGAATAAGTCAATTTCTCCAGGAAAAATTTTTGTAAATATACTGTCGACATGAGATGTTCTTTGCATTTTAAACTGTGCTTGATCTCTATGAAAGAAAATACGACCCTCATCCCCTCCCCCCTCTCACCAGTACTCACCACTTGATAATTCTTTTCAATGATGCAATCTCTAAAATTAGCTTCAGAGGTATGAGACTGTCGTTTCTTTGCACTGCCTATTCATGGTCGCCTGTTGTTCTAAAACTGACTTTTTGCCTATTTTATTGTGAAAAAGTTAAGTCATCAAATGATTTGATAGCAACCGGTTTTTCAGTTTTTGTAGTTGTTTCCGTCAATTTGAGAGAAGTTGTGTTCATTAATGTGGCAGATTCTTTTGAAATGGTGAAAGACGTTTAAAGAAAGAATTTCAATTATTTGTATGAAAGAATTGTTTATAATCAGTGAAGATATTGGGCAAGGACATATCTGTCACTTTTATAAACAAGGTCGATTTTCAGGCACTTCATAACGACTTTCTATCTTGTTTATTTGCACTTAGACTAGATCTCAGTCACCTTTACCCCCCCCCCCCTCAATACCTCTTTTCACTTTTCTCTTTTCCTACTCAAGTTTTTGTGCCCTAGTTCCGATATTTACAGGTGCTCACTGGGGACCAGCATTTCTGCCATGGCATCGCGAGTTCTTGCGCCAGTTCGAAGTTGCACTCCAACGGGAAGACCCAACTGTCTCACTCCCCTACTGGGATTCGACGCTAGATCAAGGTAAGGGCAACACCCCTCCCCCCCCCCCCCACTCCCGCATTCCATCCATCGCTGTGTTGATTCATTCGTTTACATGAACAATAAGAATGATGTGCTGCTGCTGCTGTCTCTCAGCCGACAAGTGCGCTCGCTTACCTTTGCATTTCGCAGTGTAGTCCGTGGCTACAGTACGGTACGCACAGCAGCTGCATCCGCATGCGGGGTACTATTGTTACAAGTTGATGGAGCGTAGATATGACGGCAGCTGCGACTGCGAAAAACCTGTTGTCATATCAAGGTCTTGCGTAGTTGTGTTATATATGTGAGTGTGTACAGTTCAAAGGTGATCAAAAAGGAAACAAACGCGAGAAACCATTATTGCTCTGAGAGCGATCGTGTGAAAATCGACGCTAACTATAAACGCGATTGTGCAACACAGTTCTACTAACTTTTAAGGTTTGAAGCAAGAAGATTTTTTCAAATAAATCCTTTGGAACAGCCTTTTTGACAAAAGTTCAGCACGATAGCCGAATATTAACATCTCTATTCGGCTAAGCAAGAAAAGATTTTCTCTTTACGACTACTCCTTTGAAGAATTTAGTTTTTCCATAATTGTTTCATAATTCATGGCAATTATTGTCTTCGCTCCTTGAAGGCAGTATCTAAGCTGATCTAACAAATGAGGGGTACTTGGTCGAAGTGGCGTTTCCAAATGAAATGTATACTGCTTTATGGAGCTTGAAACGGTGTTTTCAGATCTGCTTTCAATATCTGCAAAGCGCTTCTAAGAGAGGAGTCATGGGAATTTTTTGATGCAAAAATATAAACGTGCCATTACAATAAAACGTGCCATTACAATAAAGTCGTTCAAACCTGTGGTTCGTGAATTCAAATGGGGTCATGCACTGCCAGGGCGCTTTATGCAACATATAGCTTCAGTAGGTACCCCTTTCAAGCGCTAGAAAGACTTCAGCATGCTTTTAGTTTGAGGCTTTAGCCAAAGCCTCAAACTTTTTCCTCAAAAGTCCCCAAATCTCCTCAAAAGCGCTTTGCAGACACCGAAAGCAGTTTTGAAATCCGGATTTAGTATGCAATTCATGTGAAACGCCACTCTAAACAAGTATCCTCCCTTGTAAAAGTTTGGACTTAGTAGAAACTGATCGGGGTAAAATAAGCCACTGAAAGGAGACTTCACTTCATAGACTCCAAACTCTTTCCGCTTAACACTAGTACCTCCAATAAACGACGACAACAAATGCTGCAAATCTTCAAAAATTCCGTCCCAATCCTCGTCCGGAAGCATCTTACGCCCATTGCTTCGTTAAAAGAAAAATACTGTCTGGGCGAGAGTTTGGAGAAAATCTTTTGGTGATATGAGCTGTTATATGGGCAATGGCTAAGCTGGAGCTTCTGTCTACTAAAAATTCCGCCCACGCAAATTTGCCTGCCTTTATAGAGCGGCCAATTTGCGACAAGGTTCCTATCATTTGGGAGAGTCCTTGTCACTTTAAAAAAATTTGTGAAAGTTGGTTCTTTTTTATTAATTGCTGTGCACATGTGAATTTAGGTGAGCAGAACTGTAAAGTTTCTCTTACAAACCTTTCTCTTATAAACCTTTTTTCCCGAATCTTCAGAAATTTTAAAAAATGCGGTATACATGACTAAGGTACAATTATGAAAACCCTCCCTGTATGCTCATAGAAGGAAGGCACGAGTGTTGAAATTACAGATTTGGCTACGTTTTGGTCCATAGAATCAACTTTGAGAGACACTCTAATCCGTATTCTTCAGGATAAGGGCTGTTGCAATAACAACGCACAGACTATAGCGTGTTTTATTCTGCCAGAAAACTCAGTATACTACTTCTTTTCTGCTGATCACTATCTCATTCGCTTTATTATAAACATGCTATTTCCGGGCAAAAGCGTATTTGCCTAAGTCGCCACCCTAGACTCTGCATAAACTGCATAGGCTACGTCACTGTAGTGAGTATGCAGAGTAGAGTAAAGAGGACGAGATACGGTAATCTCATGAAATATCTGTTTATATGCCATCTAATGCTCGTTGTTTATGTGACCTTTACATCAGAGTGTGAGCGAAGTTCATGAGCTTACTTAACGAAAAGAACACTTTCAATCCTTGATTTTGCAGGACTTCCGGATCCTTCCGATAGTGTAATTTGGACTGATGGCATATTGGGGAATGGCAATGGTTATGTCAAAACAGGCCCCTTCAAAGACTGGGATACAAATGTCTACATGCCCCTCACTCAAATCCCTGTGAAACAGCTGTACAGGTAGAACAAAAAATTTTAGTATGAATTTTCATCCTAATCTTCTTGGTGTAGATCTACCGGTGGCAGAGAACAAGATCGGCTAATGGGAGTCAAGGATGTCGAGTGGGTACTGAAACAAAATCATTACAGGTAAGAAATCTGCACTTTCTGTAATCAAATCAGTTCTCGAAAAATCCGTGATGACTGATCTTCTAACTCTCGATCTTGTATTTTACAAAAAATCCTCGGCAAAAGAGTTCTTTGCAGCCAATTAACCTTCTGTCATGATAAGACCTTCGAAAGTATGCACGGTCTCGGGCATGTTTGGGTCGGAGGATTTATGTTTGTAATCAGGTAGAAGCAAGTTTTGTCCGTTTGCAATTAACTGCTGATAAAAAATGGGTTTAAGAGTGAGTCCAAACGATCCTGCGTTCTACTTGCACCATGCGTTTGTGGATTATCTCTGGGAACAATTTCGAAGGCAAAAACAGACAAGAGAAGAGCGAGAGACACAATGGGCAACGGTATTTGGAATTTGATGATTGGAGGGTTTTTTGATTCGAATCCGATTTAAGGATACGTGTAATTCCCTACATGGCTATGATGAACAGATGAAGCCTTTCCGGTTGCAGAATAGAGACGGTCTGAGCAATCAGTACACAGATGAATGGTCAGTATAAAATTGTGGTCTAACACCTTGCCAGACGACTTTTCAATCATTCCTTTTTCCATGCTCAGATAATCCCTCTGCCAGTCCTTGATCTCTTTTCTCTCGTTCTACAGTCATGTCTTCTAGCTCTAATCGAACGGGATCGTTTGAGGTTCAAAATCAAATTTTTTCTGAATGTTTATACATATTTACAGGTACGATTACGAACCAGTTCGACACTGCACTCCATCTAAACCTGATTGTGACTCAGAATACTATTTCTGTGACACAAGGGCGTGGCGATGTAGGAGCAAGGTGATATGCTTGTTATCTTTGTTCTCAATGACCATAGAACAGAAAATCACCGTTCGATTATGCCAATTATAGCAGGCTAGCTTCTTGGATTACATTTTTTGGAATCATAAACCGTGGGGTGAAAAAATACAGAATCAAATATTCGAATAATTGTGTGGAACTTTGGTTGTTATTTTGTTGAAAATCGAACTTCTGTGTTAGCAAAATGTTTATTGAATCTCTACTATATCCCACATTGGCGGTCCCAGGACTCCGTCCGGGGGGGGGGGCAAAAAATTTTTTTAAATGAAGATGCGTTTCTTTAGCTGCGCAGCACTCCGAAAAATTTTTTAGGATGCTTCTCAAAATTTTTGCGGGCCCATAAGCCGCCACGCCCCCGATCAAAAAATAATTTAATTATTCACAAGAATAAACAAGTCACTTGCACATTTTTATAACCCATGTAAGTAATTCAAAAATTTCGCGAAGCATTCTCGGGGGGGGGGGTCCATTGATATCCCAGTATATTCGCTTTCCTAACTTCCGACTTTGAATTCCGGAGGTCGCTTATACGGGTAGGAACTATATGTCGCCGAAAAAGGGCGGTCCCCACGGTCGTTTGCGACAAATACGCGCTCTTGTATATGCGCGGACATGCGTTCCTGCAGGAAATCCTCACGGGACTCTTCAAAATTCGGCGACATATAGTCCTCCACTCCGTTTATACTAGTAAGCGCGGGGGGATGAGTAGAAATTCCACCAGTAATATTCTCCTGGCAGTATCCACTTAGCAAAACCTTAGCTCCGTTATATGTCTAATCTTCTTCTTTCTGTAGCACCCCTTGTAGAACAAACAAATAAAATAGATATTCCATACTTTAATTTGGCATTTATAATCCGTGAGTGCATTTTGCCGCATTTGGAGCTCTTTTTCGTGTCAAGTTCAAATTTCTCTTAGAGCTTTTTCATACCAATGTCTGATTCAATGGAAACTTTTCGAGCATCGTTTTTGCGTTTTCTGCAATGAACCCATCTGTTTTCTTTTTTAGGTAATGCTCAATGATGAGAATTGTAAAGTAGGGCAGTGTATGATAGCAGTCACGAATGATACCTTCTTTTCAATACTCGTTAACCTTGGAAAGATTGACAACATCAAGGAACCTTTACTTTTTTCAGGTTGTACTTGGAGGAAACTGCACAGGCTTCGAAGATATGGCAATATGCTACAACTCTGTCTGTCAAGAGGTATATTAAAATGAGAAAACAGAAAAAGACTGTAATGATAGTATTTTAAGCAAAATTCGAGCAGTTTATACTTCCAGAATCGCTGCCAGCTGCCACCAAAAGTTATGGATAGAATGAGGCAGAGAAAGTCTGTCGAATTTCCTACCGGCGATATTGTTTGGACGAAAACTCTGCTTATAGATCAAAATGGAAAAGGTAGGTTGAAACTGCACGACCTGCTACAGCTGTTTAAAAAATGATCTGATGAAAAAACTTCTCTTTTTTTCCTTGATAATATACATCTTATTAGGCATACGCAATGAACTTGCTCACGTCACTGTTGTGAACGATTTGACATCGGAAAATTTCACTTCATATCAAGAAAATGAGCCAGCTTACCCTGAACTTGAGGTCAGTGCCTTCTTGAAGCTGAATTAGTGTCAAGCTAGACGCTTTCCCTCCCCAAACACTAATTGCATGAATAATTGTAATTTGATGTGGATCTTTGCGAGAGGGTAATTTTAGTCATCCGAGATAGATTCTAAATATTGACTGAATTTTGAGGTGAAGATCCGTTCTTGCCTCTAAGTTTCAACGAATTGCTACTCGTTACTTATAAGTAAATTTGCTTACTTGTTTTTATTGTGTACTAGCTGGCTTACCCGGCTCCGCCGTATGTTCCGAATAGAAAATTCCATTTCTTAACCGATCCGGACCAAACTTGGCACACATAGACTTCGGGCCCCGGCGTATGTCACAAGTCCACTTTTCGTTATCGATCGATGTCGATTTTATCGATTTTTTGCAAAATTTGAGCTAGGGGGCTGGTTTGGCAGAGGGGTGTAATCGAGCATGCTGATCACCCCCACGGGGGTGATCAGCATGCTCGATTACCCCCGTGTGCCAACTCCCAGCCCCGTAGCTCAAATTTTGCAAAAAATCGATAAAATCGATGTCGATCGATGACGAAAAGTAGCCTATGACACCCGCCGGGGCCCGATGTGTATGTGTACCAAGTTTGGTCCAGATCGGTTCAGAAATGGAATTTTCTATTCGAAACATACGTACACACAGACAGACATACAGAGATACAGACATACAGACGTACAGACATACAGACAGACAAACAGACATTCAGCTTTATATATAAGATTTAGGAATTGATCGGGAAGTTTTAATTTAGCCACTGCGTTGCCCGACCCATATAATTTCTTCATCGTTGAGAAGTTCAACTTTGAATTCTAGCTCAAAAGTACTCATAATGCGCGAGGTGCGTCCGCTCGGAATGCTCAGACAAATGACCGGGACTTCCGCACAGCGCTTGCGGAAGTTCCGCCGGGTCACCCGCGGAAATTCCGTAAACGTGCTGCGGAAGCTTCGAAATGAGGTCCTGCGGATGTTCCGAAGAATGCCAACCACAACAGCAAAAGAGAACACCGAAGCGAGATTTGAACCTCACTCTGTTGACTGTGAGACCCACCTACTATCCTCTACGCTACGGCTGACATGTTCAATAATGCACTCTAGTTGTTGGCGAGGCAACATCATATTAGACAACATATCAAAGTCCTGCGGAAGTTCTGGCAGGCCAAGCGAGGCGGAACTTCTGGCATTTTTCGGAATTTCCGCAGGATTTTGAAGAAGGTCCTGTGGAAGTTGCGGTTTTTAATCAGTTTGGCATGAAAATCCAGCGGAAGTCCCGATTTTCAACGTTTTCATTTTTGCAATAGTGAACAAAATCCTGCGACTTCTGCAAATTTGGCTTGTCCTGCGGAAGTTCCTGTGATTTGTCTGAGTGATTACGGTCTGGGCAAGATTTACAAATAGATTTCGCGGCTATGAATGATTTACTCGGGCTGCCGCTTTGGCAAAGACTGAAGCTTCATAATCAGTTCACATAAGAAACCCGGGTACTGGTACTCAGACATACGTGAGCAACGGAACGGGGAAACGAGACGGGCAGTGGCAATAGGACCATATCTGCTGTTTCGTCATTTTTATAGGGAACCATGTACTTGCCAATTCCAAAGCCCCGTGCTGGACTGATTCAAGAAGTGACGCTTGAAGCCGTGGATGGTGATGGTCGATATTGCCAGGCGCACTGTTTCAATAGCACGGAGGAAAAATATCAGGTGAATTTTTTTTCTAATTATTCGCTGCAAAAAAAGAGATTTATTTCCTGAAGGTGTGCCAACCTCGTCTGAAAATAGGGGTTCGCGCTGAGTCATCCGCCGGCATTTCTTACACTCACTCAATGACTTCAAGGAGGTTGCTTTCTTTGTCGTTGACAAGTGCCATTAGAACTGCGAAACTTCATAATTTAATCATTAAAGGTACCTCGACGTCGATCTCAGCGTCCATCCTCGCCAAGTAGCTGTGTCCGCTCCGTACATAGTTTTTGCTTGCTCAAGAAAGGTGAATAATGAGTAGAAGTGCTTTAATTCGCTCAACAACAGACCAAATATAGATAACGACATCTGCAACAATTACATCTCTAGCTGAAAGCGCTAGACCACCTGTATTGCGAGAACCCTTCGTTTGGTTCAGAATTACTCTTCATAAGCATGTGTCTCAAAATCTACAGGTTTGCGCATAAGATTCAGAGGAATCACTTATATATCTGATCACAGATCCGAGCAGCTCCTTCTTCGGGTCCAGTATGGTTGTCATCTGTACAGAAAGCAGCTTCACCTTTTGATCCAAACCTTGTCTTTGTTCAGGTCAGTGTTGTTCATAGGGCACCTAGCTAACCTTTGGTTTAACTAGCTTGGCGGCTGGAAGGCAGGGCTTCGTGACCTATTTAAGGCCGCTTGCACTCGTGATGCAGTCTGCGTCTCTTTCGCGTTCGTGCTCTCTGATCACTATCTACCCTTAACTAGGTCACGAAGCTTCGCCTTTCAGCTGCGAAGATGAAACAAAGGATATGCATCGAGCGCGTCGTTAGCTTTCGTTCAATTTCGCTCACAGCTTCCCTATTTCCTACCGTAAACCTACCGTAACTCTACGGCTGAAAATACGAAAAGAATATTCTTTTTTAAAAGGTCAAATAATACCCACTGAGACTGTGCGAGATCAACGACATCAAAATATTTGGGTTCCTGATTATGATATAGCGCTATGGATTAAGCTAAGAAAAATAAACTAAAAATCACAAATAAATCCAACGAAATTTGAGATTTGGCGCGCAGTGTGCACAGTTTGTGAATTTGCACATTGAAGTGTGAGATTACTGGACTGTAATTACTCCATCTTGAAAAAACCAATTAAACACTCTTTACTTTGAAAATTAACGTAAATTGAAAAACGGTTAAAGCGCATCTTTGCTATGCTCACAAAGAAGAGGTAGAAAAAGGTTATTAGTTCGTTTAGGCACCAAATCCTGGCATTTCCGGCGGTGGAGTGAAAGTGACCATAAGCATTTTGGAAGGTGGTGAACGAACAAAATGCACGGTTAAGTGCACTAAGGTTTGTGAAAATAATATTGTGCTCATCATAATAGGGATAGAGGACGTTATGATAGTCTCCACTTGCTCGGCCATCTGTCACAAATTATGCACAGTCAACTGTGCAGGCGAAGTCTATAGGCGACACAACATCCTCTGAAGTCGACTGCACGAAATCGTCCATATCGCTGCAGGCTGCACGCACGCGGAAGTATCTGATGGCTTACGCGCGCGAATGCCAATTTTAGCTCGCAAGAGACACGCTCGCAGGCCTTCAGCCTGCGGCGATTCCGGCGATTTCGTGCAGTCAACTTTATTCTCTTGCTTGCGATACGTTCCACTTAACCACCTTATCTAACACGTCCTTCAGAGAGATGGATCAGTACAAGACTGCGACGGTACGGTACAACTGCATTCTGAACCTTCACAGTCTGAAGAGGACGTCTTTACCGCCGATCCAGCCGCTCTGCATCTTCTGGGCTGGAACATGCGCGGTCATCCAGCACAATGGCGACATAAAGTTCCTTATCTCTCCTTCCACTGCTGAGCACTTTCTAGCCAGGCGAAGAGGTGCAATAGCAAAGCCAGTAGCTCCTTATGTGAAGTTGATGTCCACTGCCCACAATCGACCACCGGTCAATATGTCTCTATTTCTATATCTTTATTTTGACACAAACATTATCTAGGAAGGATGAGCAGCATCTTGTTTTTGATATAGTCTTTGTCGGGTATACTGCTATTCGTGCCTTTTGTTTGTATAGTGCACTGATTTGATATAAACATGGTTGAGCAAGTACTTGGTTAAAGGAATGGATACTGTAGGTTCGAGGCAGTATGACCTTTACTTAGCAAGATCTACTGCATAGTCTAAAACACCCTTTGATTCAATTAAATTGGAGCTGGAAGGCAGGGCTTCGTGACCTACCCTAATCTCACGCGTACAAGGCGCGGGGGATTTTTTTCCAAAATCGACCAGCCCAAATACGCCAAAGAACTTCGCAACCAAAGGACCCTATACCTTGTTGTATATTGCTTAAGAGAATCGTACGGCTTAAGGATCGCTTTCCAAAATAATTTGAAGCGGCTGAGGGGCTTAGTCGAAAAATCGAAAAAGGTGCGCCTTGTACGCGTGAAATTAGGGTAGTTAAGGCTGAGATCAGAAATAACGAAAAGATCACGCGCGCGAGAGAGATGCCGACTGCGCCGCGGGCGCGAGCGGCCTTAATTAGCTTACAAAGTCCCGCCTCTTAGCCGCCAATCCAGCGTCAAATGATTCTCCCTCATCTCCAAACTATGTGTGATGTTGCAGATTTTTGATATATACATGTCACACATGAAAAATCAAATTTTCGAAATATTTTTTAGCAAATTTCCAATTCTGGTTATTGAAGAGTTTGAACTTCCAAACTGCCCAGTGGTTACCACTACTGATCCTAGAAGTCCATAAAAAATCTAAAAAGGTGGAAAAGAAGGATAAGAGATTTTTTAGAGAATAAAGAACGAAATGGAGGTTGGAGTGCCTCTATAAAGTTCCCTTTATATTTACTGTAAGTCATGTGGTGAAGGTATAATTGGTGCCAGCGATAGCCCTTTATCCCTTCCCCATTATATGCCAATTATGAGATTTTGCCGAATTTTCTGGAGCTTTTCAGCGAAGAAAGCGTTAAACATAACAACCTAATAACATAAAATATGGCTTCGGTGAGTCGTGGTGAACGATGATTGGACAGAAATGAAGAAAATCAAGGAAAAACAGGTAAAGAGACTGTAGCGGAGGGTTAGTCTGATATACAGACTTGTAGCAAAGCATCAAACGAAGCTTGGGACGTTCACTGGGGTCCGGCACAGCTGGAACTGGGACAAGCTGGATATGGTTTCCAGGGGAAAAACAAAGGAAATATCGTTGTGGCTTCGGAACGGAGCAGCCGCAAAGGGTGGAGTGAAAGGTGAGTAAGGGAGATGCAAAGGGGAGGGGACAAGTACGCTGACTTGTTGGTTTCAGGCCCCGATCATATAGTACCCTTTTATTCAACGAGATTGGCGGCTGGAAAGCGACCGCTCGCGCCCACGACGCAGTCTGCATCTCTTTCCCATAAGTGCTCTCTGGTCGTTACCTAGCCCTGATTAGGTCACGAAGCCCCGCCTTCCAGCCCCAATCCAGGTGAATCAAAGGGTGTAATAAAACGCTTCCGGTGCATGATGCAGGGTAGAGGTACGAACGTCTCAATTAGGCGCCGCTTCTGCGGGCTGCTGGTCCTTTCGTCTTACTGTTGTACATCGTGATGGGACCAGTAGTCCGCGGAGGCGGTGCCAAATTGAGGCGTTCGCTCCTCCACCCCATGATGCACCTATGGCTTCGTTTCAAAATCTCCCTGCTATGTTTGACTTTGATCCCGCCTTATCTTCGTAACCTAACTTCCGTGCTTAGTCGACTTCCGAGTATCATTCCGAAAGAGCTCTTCAAGGATTTCAATCGATGCACAAAATCTTTTGCTCTTTCAGTTCAAAGAAACCAAGTGAATTTGAAGCCAATAATCTATACTTTTAGTAGGCTTATCTGTGGGCGGACTTATCTACAAAATTTTGGCGTACTAAGAAATGTTTTAGGTAATTGTGATGACACTGTTCGAATAATCACCTCAAAAACCTTACTTTACTCCCACACTTTGTAAAACCTGCTGCTCAAGTTGCAAAAAACAACATGTGTGCCACTCGGCGCTGAGGAATACAGTTTGTTCGAAGGTTTTTTCTAATGTGGGAACGCCGGACTGCTCAAAAAAAGCTACGGAGATGACCACAAATAAGCCCTTTGCTTCATAATGGAAGAAAAAGAAGGCTCTTTCCTTGCAAAGCGCTTAACAAGTTTGTTGTACTCTTCGGCCCCGGCCAGACTTCTCTCAAAAGCGCTAAAAGCACAAAAGAGCCCAAAAGCGCTTAAAAGCGCTCAAGACCGCCAAATTTGTTTTCGCCCAAATTTTGATTTTCATGTTTGCTCTAAATTTTTGGTTTTCTGGTTAGGTGCTCCATGAGTGTACCAGAAATGATCAAAATAAATAAATAAATCAAACGAATTTTTCTAACCTCTCTTCACTTTCCCTATCTCTCCTTACACGAGAAAGTGAAAAAAGATTAGAGAAATTTGGGCGCTTTTGAGCGCTTTTGGGCGAAGTCTGGCAGGGCCCTTCGGCATCTTCTGAGGAATGGGACATTTCGAATGGAGCATTTCACTTTTTGTTGTCGACATCACATCAATATTCTCATAAACAATCCTATCCGAACATGAATTGCCAAAGTATATTATCCAATTCTGTGTCTAATAACTTTGCTCTTCTCTAATATGGAACTCTGTTTGGGCCTAATCAGTTAGCCTTCGGCCGCAGGTTCGCTGACAAAAAAGGGATCACTACAATTTTTAGAGGAAGCAAGGTTTTAGAATTTATTCTGTCATTTCAAATGTCATTTGACAAGCTAACACTGATTTATATTTTAGTAATCTACAGCTTTTGACTTGTAACTGTTTTCTTCCATGTCATTTTTATCCGCCTGAGTTTTGAGATTAGCTGGTACCGCATTAGTTCGAGCTCCTTTTTTTCGGCGCACTTCAAGTGTATTTACGAATAAATAAATAAGTATGTGTCTGATTCTTCATGACCAGTCATAATGATTTACGAATATTGATTGATACTGCACCAAGCCTCCAGCGTTTCTTTATTTCAGATTCAGACCTCCAAATTGCTCGGCTGCAAAGCCCAGCTCTAAAGATCTTCCGGTTGCCCTTGCCATCCGTGCCAAGGACCTGTCGAGCACTCGGCTGCTTCAGCAGAGCATCGTGACGAGCAAGGCTCATCGATCATCGACTGCCTGCAAATCACAGCGTATTACGACGACGATTAGCTTATTCTGTTGCCGTCGTAAGCCTGATAAATGCACTTTCCTAGACGATCACCTGTCGCGGTTTCCGTTTGACATTTGCAGTGATAATGATGTGATTGTAGAGACTCCAGCATAGGAGATTCGGAGCCACTGCGAGATATTAGCCCAATTCAATTTACAAAGCAATAAAATCTGACTTTCCATAAAAGAATATTCAAGCTTCAACGGAATTATTCAGAGTGAATCATGTTACTGTATAAGTACAGAAGTAGCTAGCCCGATGATCGTTCTTTGTCATCCGCAGACTCGATATCTTAACCCATACTCAGACAATTCACCGGAGCAGGACAAACAGAATTTGCAGCGGTTCCGCAGCACTCACTTACGTTAAGTAGCGGAACAGCATGACCATATTTACCAAATAGATCTGCATAATTTACTCCTGAAGAATTCTTCATTATACTTCTTTCTTAGAGTTAGTTCACCGATAAAAAAGAAAGGTTTGGAATAGCGTTTTGTGAAACATTTTAGGATTCACATGTGCTTCCATATCCAAAATTTGCAAAAAAAATATTTTGGAAGAAGTGTGGATTAACAAGCCCTCTTCGATGAATAACCCATTGGTCTAAAAGTACTTATCGTTAGGTTTGCACGTTGTCTGAAACTGTGCATCTGGACGCATAAGCAGTTACGAGTGTCGTAGAACTTGTTTCGCGGGAAGCGGGGGGGGGGCAGAAATATTTTTCTAGAGCGAATACGTGGTGTTAGCTACATTTTTCGAAAAGATTCTTGCGGTTTCTCAGATTTTTGAGGTGCTTATAATCTCATGAACGGGAGGAGGCAGCATGGAGGCAGCCAAGACGTAAGAAAATTATTTTGTAAAGCTGATTCGAATATTCAAGAGAATTTCAAATCAACAGTGAATTAATTCTATAAAATTAATATATTAAGACATTCATGTATGACAAACATCTATATCCAAAAAATTGTCTTCTTACTTACACAATTTGCTGGAACCTTGCTTTTCGAAAAATTCATGTACATACTTTTTACTCCTAGACAACTTACTCTCAGTATTGAAAATAAGTTTTACAAATCATCCTTTCTTACTGATTCCGGAGAAGGTCTGTAAATACTTTTACTCCTTCTAAGAGCAGGAACGAAATGAGCCTTTCGGTTATTTACATATTTTGAATTCAAAATCTGTTCTTCTTATTATCCACACTTTTTTCAGCTCATATAAGCCAATTTAAATAACATAAGAATCGCTGATATCAGTCAACGGAGAGTCAGTCAAACTTCATTAACAGTCAAGGTTAGATTATTTCACAAGGGTGTCCTCCCTTGGTCAAGAAAGTTCAATTCCGACAGAGGATTTAAAGGCCCATCACTGATAGCCTACAATTTTCCACAGTTCAGCCAATCAGCTAGCTATTTATCAAATCGTGAATTTTATTTCTCAAAAGTTTTTTTTTTGCTTGGATGAGAGGCTTACTTTATGCATACAACTATAATTCAAGATGATTTCTGATTAAGGTAGTGCAATTTAAGGACAGTCTCTGCCCTTAAATTGCACCATCTCCTGGGATCTGAAGACTGAGGCTAACTGGACTTTTCATGCAAGAGCTTGCTACCAGATAGCATCTTTGCAGCGGCCGAAAAACAGGGCAGCTGTTCAGCAGCGCCGTCGAGCCCTACTGCCAAAAACTTGAAATATAGTGTTCACGGCGAGGTGCGAGGGATATCAGGTCATGTTTTACAAAGTAATGAGAAACAGGCAATAGTGCTACGATGACATTCCATGAGATCAAAACTGGAATCTCTAATTCGCTCTCATTTGAATTTTAATGAGCTAATAATGGACATTTACGAGTAACAAAGCATGTAAGATACAGATGTAGATACTTTGTGATGTTTGTTTATTAGGCAGAAAGATAAACCCTGGATACTTCATTTGTTCACAGTATTCTTACCGCGCAAAAACGACAGTAAACATAAGCCGTTTGTGCTGGGTGGAGGAACGGACCGACAAGACCGCCTTAGCTGGCAACTGGTCCTTTTGCAATATTCTTGCACGTTGTTGTAGGACCAGTAGTCTGCGAAGGCGTTTCAAACTGGCGGAGTTCGTTCTCCTACCCGTTTGTGTTTTTCACAAGAACGATAATCAGAGAGAACGGAAAATCTCTACATCATGGGCAACTCTTCAGCGCATTCAGTCAAATTATTGAGCAGATTCTTCCTCTATGTTCGAAAGGAGTAAACTATCCATTGCAAAGAAATATTCGTCTCAAACCCATAAGTCTAGAACTTGTCTATAAGCAATGAAGCCGCTGAATGGTTCGCATGCGCATTGGTGCACTGTAGCAACCGAGTGAAGGGGGGGGGGGGGGAAGTTACTGTGAAGGCGGCTGCAGATAGCGATTTAGGCCTGTTTTTTGCCTTTCATCTAAGGAAGCGTTAAGTTTTGGAGAGGGGGGAAAGGAGCGTTGTATAAACAACCAACTTGTTGAATAAGAATCTTATAGTCATCGAAAACTTATGGATTCCGTGCGCATTTCGTTAATATTGTACCCATGGTTTTAGTAAATGGTCGAAAGAAGGATAAAAATGAATACGCATATGTGATATGCATTTTTAGGCAAATCTTCCATTATAGATTTATAAGGATTCACAGATCTTTGGTTACCACTTTTGGGACGCTTTATTGCATGTTGTAATACTTCAGAAGAACCAAAATCCTGGACACAGCATTTATAATTCAGTTATTGAGTACCACACGAAATGCATTATTTTCCGCTCAAAATGAATATTTTCAGAGCATATAAACGAACGCGGCGGATGGTTGTGCACTGACATCACCAATAAACAATTTACATAAACTTTCATTCGCCCCAACGAGCGTCGTTTGTTTTCGAGAACATTATGCAGTGTGTAATTTCCGGAGAAGATGCCCTCTAAAACTGCTACTACTATTTCATTAGGATATCTTTCTGGGGCCAATGATTATACCTTGACGTTGAGTGACCGAATTATTAATTTAGGGTTCTCTCCAGCACGCAAGCAAATTTGATAAAAAATACCACAAAATCTCCTCGAAAGTGCAGAATAGGTTTGAAATATGTTGAGCAACCCCTAGGGCCATTTATACCATAACTTTCTGCACTGCAATGCAGACTCGAATGATCAAAGTTTAGTCCTTTTTCTTAAAACACATGATTTGATTCTTCTGACCTCCGACCTATTTGAACATGAAGGGCTGTGTTGGATTTCACAACATTTTGATGGTCCTCCAGAGTTGCTGAATCGGGGATCGAGCCGAATGTCATAGACAGACGGCTTGATCGAGATGTGGCTGTTGCGAGAGGGGCGTGCCTCAGAGTTCTGCTTACTCCCTCCTCACTGCTGCCGCTATGCGGACTTGTCTCCTCGTCTTACTGCTCGTAGCAGCCTCTTTTGTCGAATGTGCTAAGGTAGGGCTCCTTTTCTCGCTTATTTTGAAAAAAATCTCGATTTATGAATTCTTCAAGTCCCAAGCAAGTCGCGTTAGTTCAACAAATTAACCCCCTTCAATCTATGTTAGCGCATCATTGATACCGAATTTTTTGATTATAAATATTGCAACGGACATTTTGGACTTAGCATTTTCAGTCTGATATAGTTTGTACAAATGTTACCGTAACACTATAGATTTATCTTCAAAATATGTCTATTCCATTCTACGTTATTGTTGTTCACGAATTCGCTACAAAAATTAGCACACAATTTGAGTTCAAATGATTCTTGAGTTTTGTAATACTTCTAATGCTTCAAGAACTCAGCTTCAAAGTTTTTTTTTAAATGTCATTTTCCATATCTTGAACTGAATTTGCAGAAAACAACAAAGAAGAAGGATCTCGATGAACTTGAAAGCCTTCTCGAAAACATTGATGAGGATCAAGAGACCGAAACCGTTGCACCAACCAAAAAAGGTAACGTTTAGAATTTTTGACGGAATTTTTTACTGGAAATTGTCACTTAGATACTTTATAGTCTAAAACTTGTCACCCCGCCGAAGTCCTTTCTAGTACTGTAACGTGAGACAGAGAATCCAAATCCCTCACTGTAACTCAATCTGTGCTTTCCCATCGGGCGCTGAAAATCGCCTGGCTTTGCCGGGCTCGCCATCGCTATCTCCAGCAAAGGAGACAGGCGCGCCGTGCCTGGCTTCTCCCCGGACGGCTCTCTATTTCCTATGACCCCCGTGTGGTGGTTGGTGAGGGAAACGCAGCTGGTGTCTCCGTGCTATGTTTCATCCGCATAAAACAGGGGATAAATTCACCACAAACAAGCTATCGGAACTAGGAGGGGGGGGGGGGTGTAGGCTGAAGGCATCTCGGCGGGGTTCAAAGAATAAAATAGATAGTAGGGCTTGAGAGTGTCCAACTGTGAAAATATTGCACGAAGAGTAGATTCGCGGCCAGATTATCCCTCGAGCAGTGTAAAGACGTTTTTTTCGACTCACTTGGACCAAATGTTTCCCAAAGTGTCAGCGTCGCACGGTTCAATGGAAGTATCACCAACGTCAGTGTACCTTAGGGCTCACACTTCACGCGATATCGGCAACGCGATTTGGCAATTTCCCAGATGTCTTAAAATGCATTACCTGCAAATAAAAATGGATAGAGTGCATAACTTTGACTGAATAAATGCCTACTTTCCGTACCTTCAGAATGCGCTTACGATGAGTTATAAGCCAATGAGTGCCAAACGTCTGAAATTGCGTGACTTATGCCCGGGGGCTTTAGACTAAGCGCCACCCAAAGAAAATTTGCCACAATCTCTTGTATGTGATTCTGTTAAAATACTATCATAATCCCAAGTTTAGTCCATTAATTTGTATTTTTGATTTCATGAGAGTCATCTATTCTTGTGAATAATGGAACCCCACTAGTACGAATGCTCCGAAAAATTATTTTTCTGCCCTTCTGAAACTCCAACCTATCCTATTACCGTATGCATTTGCTCCACGGTATATCCACAACATTCACGTCTCCTATAACAAACATGTTTTCCCCTGGGGAGCTGCAGCAAAAATGCTGAGCACTGGGGATAAACAACGATGCTTCCGTATTGATTCACTGAACTTATGACTACTATACGTCGTCTTGGTAGAGTGTAAAGCGGCCCGAAAGACAATCCGACACCCTGCCTATTTCTTTTCACTTAGCCTACGATTGCTTTCTAATACACGAAAGGGCATTCGTGATTTGCAGAAGCAGAACTTTCAAGTGCAAGTGCGCCTATAAACTACTTGAGCGGTCTCGTATAGTAGCACTGCATCAGAGAAAATCCAAAGAAAAGTAGAAAATCTGTTTTTTTTTTCAGCAGCAGCCACAGTGGTGAAAAATCCATGTGAAGACCATGTATGTGGATGGGGAAAAGAATGCGTAGTGGGAAAGAAGAGTGAACCACACTGTGAATGCATCAGCAAGTGTCCCGAGCTTGACGGAGATCCAATGGACAAGGTGAGTTGTCAGAGCTTTGATAAAAACCCGACATATGAGCCAAAAAACTTATGTCAAATCTATCTGCCTCAAACTCTATTAGCCTATGAAAGTACACATACACGTTGCGACTTAGGCTGCATGAGGCAACCCACAGAAACTTCCGCAAAACAAGAAACATTTGCAGCATTTCCACAGCATTTTGTTTGCTATCACACAAGTTAGCGTCGACTTCCGCAGTACCTCTCAAAAAGGGCTGCGCGAAGTCCGTTCCTGAATCAGCGGGAAATCCGGTCAACCATCTGAGACAAACACCTCTGCTATAAGGGTTAGAAAAAATCTAGGGAAATAAGGACATATACGGTAAAAACCACCAGCTGTAAAATGAGGAAGGGCTAATCTCAAAATTTGCGATCGTTTTGTGCTACAACCTATGATCTCAATTTTCAACTACAATTCTGACTTTAAAATTCCCACAACGAATAATTTTTGAGAAATTTATTAGCTAAAACGTCCAAGGTGTGTTATGCACGTCAGGAATCTGATTTCACGATTCTGTCAAGTGAAGGCAATAGAAGAATTTTGAATGTAAAATTTTCCCGCCCATACAAAAATCGTTGAACGGGCTTTCAAAAATCACTTCACAAAGATGATACAAGAGACTTGGATGCACAGAAGGACATCACTTTGGAGAGGTTACCGACCGTTTTCTCACCGTACTTTCAGGTCTGTGCCAACAACAACGAGACTTTTGTCTCCCTTTGCGACTTGTATCGTGAACGATGCCTGTGCAAGAAGGGTTCAAAGCAATGTGCGAAGAAGTCCCACGCTAAAGTATGTTAAACAAAAATCTGCAAAAATACGCTCAACTATTTTGACAATAGGTCCATCTGGAATACTTGGGAGAGTGCAAGTTATTGAGCGAATGCACCGAAGAACTCATGGCTCAGTTCCCTGAGCGCATGGCTGACTGGCTCTTCCAGGTAAGTGGTAAATTCCTCCAAGGTTGTTCTAAGACCACCCCTTTGTAGGTCATGAAAGAGCTGAAGAAACGTCGTGAACTGCACAAGCTTGAGTGGGAAGAACTCCTCCAAGAAGCTGAGGCTGATGATGAGAAGAGACACGTATACCCCGTAATCTGGAAGTTCTGTGACTTGGACATCAAGCCTCACGACAAGGTCAATGCGCTTTGAAAGCAATATAGAAGTTTGTACAAAAACAGATTTTCAGGCAGTATCCCACCACGAACTCATCCCAATTACGGCACCTGTGATTCCAATGGAATCATGTATCAAGCCATTCTTGGAAGGATGTGATACCGACAACGACGGCACGATTTCCATCCATGAATGGGGAAAGTGCTTGGGACTTAAGGATGGTAAGTATTGTAAAAGGAGTTGAAAAGCGAAAGAAAGTTCAAGAGGAAAGAGGGAGAGGGAGGGAAGGGTGTGAATGGTGCTAATATTGATCAATTTCTTCGGAAGTAACTGTTCCTAATAAAATATACACAGTTCAAGTTAGATCGCTCGAGTTTCCGCCTAGAACGAGGTGGGAGGAAGAGGGGGGGGGGGGTGTCAATTAGTGACATGTATCAGGTATAAAATAATCATTTTCGCTTCGAGATCTGAGTCTAGACTAGCCAGGTATAAACCCAGAAGCTTGCGAAATGCATATCGTCTCGTCTACACCTTAGTTGTGAGTCTGCACGTTAAGCGCGGCAAATGACGACACCCTTACCGATAACTTGTCAATAAAATCTTTTCCAAGGTAATAAACTGTCAAAATGTGTAAATCTAACTACTGCATACTCAATTAAACCAAAAAGACATGAGAACAACGAGAAATCATTGAAAATGAGTAGGCTTTAGTCTTAATGTCGTCAATTAGCGCATATAGGTTGCATAACGCATGTTAATTTACAAATGACTCGAAGATATGCCTTTAAACTGCAAAAGTAGTCGTCGGCAAACGTAATAGAGCCGTATATGGCTCTAGTACATCTGATTTCCAGCTTCTAATCGAATTTTTTTTTCAGGTGAGATCCAAGAGCGTTGCTAGACGGTCATAAATCGAAATCAACGAAGCTTACAGCTATTCACTGCCACTAACTCATTGCCCATCAGATATTGTGCCTTAATTTACTATTGCGTTCTTGCCCATCGTAATTAAGTAATAAATTGAATAAAGTCTATTTATACTGCTTAGCACCTAATAAATGACAACATAAAAGGCCATATTCCTGATGTTATTGATATGAGGTAGCACAATGAGCAAATTATATATCACATCAGATGCAGTTGAAATCAGATCGATAGGAAACAGACGGATCTGATTCACTCGGAGGTTTGATTAGGAGCTGAGGTAAGTAGTAAGAACACATGAGACTAGAACGAGGTATAAAAAATGAGGCTTCTCTGCATAACAAGCTAAAACATGTAAAAAATTTTAAAAAAGTCATTTCCTAAAAAGACAGGTGGGCAATTCTTGCTTTATCCACACTAAGCCGTCGCTTTCGACTCCACCTGATCTGCATCGGCTGAAGCAAACTTTACCAAAAGGGCATTTTTGGCAACATTCATCCCAGGAGTACAAGAGACTGAAGCAATTTTGCAGTTCGCAGGAGCCCTGCAATAAGTTCATCTTTCTTGATATGCTGAACTATTATACATTATCACGGGCTTGAGCAATATATTAGGTTGAACCGAAAGTTCGTTCGCACCATATTCAAAAAATCATAACTTCTTTCACTCACGACGATTTTGCGCAATTTAAATTTTATTGGAAAGCGTAAAGCATGTAGTTTCTAACAGTCCCCTGGAGACTTTCCAGCATGTTCAGATTGCAGATTAAAAAATGAAAGAACGAAAACATCCGAAATTCGAAATTTTTGAGAAACATTTCCAAAAATCTAGAAACTGCGCGATAAAATCCAGAAAAGCCATTATCCTAATTTTCCTTATATTTGATTACTAACTGAGTTAAGTTTGTGCTGATCGAGCTTTTCTTTCAAAAGTTATGATTTTTTGAAAAAAAATTCCGAAAAATCACTTTCCTAAGAATTCCTAAGAAATTGATTTTTCGGCATTTTTTTTCAAAAAATCATAACTTTTGAAAGAAGAGCTCGATCAGCACAAACTTAACTCAGTTAGTAATCAAATATAAGGAAAATTAGGATAATGGCTTTTCTGAATTTTATCGCGCAGTTTCTAGATTTTTGAAAATGTTTATCAAAAATTTCGAATTTCGGATGTTTTCGTTCTTTCATTTTTAAATCTGCAATCTGAACATGCTGGAAAGTCGCCAGGGGACTGTTGGAAACTACATGCTTTACGCTTTCCAATAAAATTTAAATTGCGCAAAATCGTCGTGAGGGAAAGAAGTTATGATTTTTGAATATGGTGCGAACGAACTTTCGGTTCAACCTAATAGTTCTAGGAACTTCAAAAAAACATCGGCACCACATATTAATTGCGCTAAGCTCAGCGGTATATACTTGGTCGACTGTTGTATAATTTCTGCGTTTTGATTGGCTATTTTTTTTCAAAAACCCCAAAACATAATCTCGTGATAACTCAAAATCCCATAAAAAGCTTCGCTTTGCTTTTCCTGTTATTTTCCTCTTTTCACTTTTCGCGCACAAAATAGCTCAAGATCTTTACTGAAGGACAATCCTCCAAACTCCTTTTAATTCTAATTCCAACAATTTCAACAAGTGATTCAGGACGGCAGCACATGAGATGGGTTATGCCACAAACAACCATTTTATAGAAATATGGGTGGTGTGCCCCAATTAGTAACACCTTTGAAGTCAAAATGCTATCTTGATAGTCAGTTAGCGCCACTAGGCCCCTTCCTAATACAAAGGTTTGCAGCAAGATGGAAAAGTTGTTATTTACAAGAGAGGTATCTGAAAGTGCAAGAGGAAATTCCTCATCACTCAGCAATGCTGAAGATTGATTTAGCCCATCAACGTAACAAAAACATGCAAGTACTGCTACTCTTGCATTTGCATTAGAGATATGGATTTTCAATGTTGCTAAATAACGCGACCGAATATTTGATTCTTTATTATGGACAGTATTCAGACAAGTTTAGTTGTAATACTTGATGGTCAGTTTCAGCGTCTTCCAGATGAGAACCCCACGTTTTGTGCACATTCAGTGAATCCCAATTTTTGTGCTTCCATCATATGTTTTTGAATGTCACTCCTCCAACAAGAATACTTCTAGTCTTTGCAGGAATACCATCTACCTCGCGCTAGACACATTGAATAATGAAGGCAGCGTACATGAGATACAGTCACTAGAAAAAAATTACAAAAACCCTTTAACAGTTCATTACCTAAGAACACTAAAAGACGCTATTTCTAGGGTACCAACGTTTTTACTATGCCGGCAATTAGTCAAAAGCGACATGCTAATCACCACATCAAACTTATCTTCGCATGGTAAGGTCTATGGGGGAGAAATTTGACTTTAGAACTTCCTAAATGTTTGTACAAACATATCTTTTGAATAGGCAACTTGTTGCAACAGGTGCATACGGTAGCACCTTACCCTATGTCCACCTCACTAAAAAAAAACTTCCGCGCAAAATTCACATGCCAGTATTCACTAAGATGCAAAATTTTGAAAAAAAAACATTCTGGCACATGTTTTTGTTCATCCCACAAACTCCCGTAATCCACATATTTCTACCCTCACGAGATAAACAATCGCTATCAGTGGCCGTATTCATTTTAACCTTGAGGTAAAATATACCCTAAGAGCATACCATGAGAGTTTACCCTCAAGGTATACGCTTATTATTCTATTATCGTTATTTACCCTAAATTTACTTTACCCTCAAGGAATCAGTTTCTCATGGAGGTTAGACATACTTTGTGCTTTGTAATAAGGGTAAGCGTTTTCAAAATAAATTATCGCAGTTTGTTCATGGATACCGTGACCGCATGATCCACTCTACGTAAGCCCCAAAACAGCAGTGAATTGATATTTGAGGGTCCCGAAAGCACACGACTGAATTCACGTCTGATTATTGAAGTCGAATGGAACGATTTTTTTTTTTCAGTGAAACGCTACCCAGCTTATTGATTTGATGTACTTCGGTGAAAGACTGAGAACAA